GGGAATCTAATATCTAGGCCCAAAAATAGGAACCAATAGTTACCCGCCAAGGGCATTATATAAACTCTTACACTCGTGAGGATCAGGTATCTAATATTCATTCTAAAAAACCCTATTTTCTTTCTTATATCTCTTTGCACTCTTTCTCACTAGATCGTCGGAGTGCCTTACAGGTACACCCTCATCTCTTTATATTTCCATCAAGCAGACATCATCATCTCGACCCATTTCAGGTTCTGATCAACCCGTAAGATCATATACATTTAAAAATAATAAAATATTTATGTATCTAAGTTTTCATTAAAAAAATAGTGAAAATCACACCTAAAGAATTATATCTAAGTTTTATCCTTTAAATTATGGTAATATATTTTGATATGATTATAAATTTATCCATATATCATTAAGAAAATACTAGTTTCTAATGTTGAATTTTTTTCAAAACAACCATGTTTTTTTAACAAAATTTTCCAAATAGTTATGCGTCCTCTTTAGTTTACAAACTACATGTGTTTAAAAAAATTGTAACATAGAGGCAAAGTCAATTGAATTAGCGCATGCATTGAACAATTTAGAGGTGAAGCCAATTGAGTATAGGTCAAGTCAATCCAATTGACACCTATGTAAATTTATACGTCCTATCTTAAACAAAACTCCATATGAACTCTTAAAAGATAGAAAATCAAATTTATCAAATCTTCTTGTAATCGGTCTTCTAAAAATAAAGTTTTCAAAAGATCACCTATGTGATGCGTGCCATATGGGCAAGCAAACAAGGGTCTCATTTAAGTTTAAAATCGTTGTTTCAACATTGAGACCCCTTGTGCTTCTCCACTTGGACCTTTTTGGTCATTCGTAGACCAAAAACCTATGTGGTAACTATTATGATTTTGTTATCGTGGACGATTACTCTAGATTTTTTTGTACCATTTTCTTAAAAAGTAAAGATGAAACTTTTGTGGATTTCACACGTTTTGCTAGGTTATTCCAAAACAAATTAAATTTAAAAATTGTTGTTATTCGAAGCGATCATGGAGTGAATTTGAAAATCACCTCTTTGATAAATATTATGATAAAATTGATATTGAACATAACTTTTCAACTCTTAACCTATCAAATTCATACAATTTTGACTTATTTAGAATTTCGATATCTTATTTTATTCATAAAAATAGTTTTTCTATTTCATATTCAAAAGAATTAAAAAAAAAAGAGGAAGATTAAGGTAAACTTAAAAGGATAAGAAAAATGTAATTAAACTTATTTTTATTTATGCTCCGCAGTTTCAGCATTGTAGCAGACACGCTTTCGCACCGTATAAAAGGCGTAACGTCAATTACCATTCACCCCATATCAGAGCTCCTTCTACCGACTGCGTACGAATCAAAACAAGAACAAAACAAAGCCGCGAAAAAGTTTCCAGAAAGAAAGAGAGAGAATAAGACAAAGAAAATTCACAGAAAACATGAAGATCACGGCTCTTCTGGTGCTTAAATCCACCGGGGACGGTTCTGAATCGGTGTTTCTGGCAAACGCTTCAGATGTGAGCCACTTCGGTTACTTTCAACGCTCCAGCGTCAAAGAGTTCATCGTTTTCGTAGGGCGCACCGTAGCCAATCGTACCCCTCAAGGACAGCGTCAATCCGTTCAGCACGAAGGTTTAATTCCGTAAAAATCGAAATATTAGGGTTTCGAATTATGCGAATCGCGCGTTTTGAATTTTTAGATTGTTGTTTTTCGTTGATCTGTCTGGATCGGATTCCTAACTAACTTTTTTTTTATTGTTTTATTAGTTCTTTTGGTGTAAGAGATAGCATTATTGGTTTGTTTTGTGATCGTGTGTTTTTATATCTGGTCATGGTTAGAAATGTGAGAGATTGAAAATCGCTTTACCTTTGCAGAGTACAAGGTGCATGCGTACAACAGAAATGGTCTCTGTGCAGTGGGATTTATGGATGATCACTATCCAGTTCGGAGTGCATTTTCTCTTCTCAACCAGGTGAGAATCAGAGCAGGGTGTTTAAGTTCAATGTTGGTTCATTTTGTTTTTCTGTGAATATTATGTCTCTGGTATTGCTGAGGATACTTGTGCATTGACACTTTTGGTAGACCCATTGGCTCGAACTACCGAGGATATAAGATTATAAAATTGTCTTGTTTTATAAATTGAGAAAATTATGTCTTATTGGTTATCTAATTTATGGATATCTTGTGACTCACACTCTTTGTTTTTGTTTTCCATTTTGTCATGGTTTACTGTCTTGATATCATACTAACCTCATCATCTTCCTAGTGAACATACTCACTCACGAAGGTAACCGTTAAATCACTGACAACCAGTTATTAGATTTTAATTTTAGTTAAGGGTCTAGGTCATAGGTTTCGGTTCTATAACTTCTATCTACTACCAAATTAACAATATGAATATGTTGCATTAATTCCAAATTAAATGAAATCATGAAAACAATTTGTTTGGCAAGAATGATAGACTACCGCCTAATTAGAATAGAATTATTGGTGTTGTTTTTCCTCTGTGCCTTGGCCATCGTATATGATATATCCCAGTGGGACTTTATAATTTATATCCTTCAATTTTGGTAAGGAGGATCTCATGTTTGAACATCTGTTTCCCTCTGTTTTTATTTGTCGATGTAACTCTGCTTACACCTAGTATTGATCTGTTCCATAACTAATCCGTTAACCCTTTGCCTCCGAGAATTTCATGTCTGCTGAGTGAATTTTTGCAAGTTTATGTTTCCATATGTTTGGGTGGTGGATAAGAAGTTTTAATGTTATTTATTGTTTTACTAGATGGTAATAAAATATGATGTCGTGCAGGTGCTGGATGAATATCAAAAAAGTTTTGGCGAATCATGGAGAACTGTTCAGGAAGATAGTACTCAAACATGGCCCTATTTGAATGATGCTCTCGTGAAATTCCAGGCATGTAATTGCCTTTTCTTCATTATATTGACTTCAGCTAGACGAGCTGTTTATTTTCTTATTCAAAATTTGCACAATATTCAAAATTGCTTCAAAGAAGTTTTTTTTCTTCTTTTGGCCAACCTTTCACATGATGGCTTTTGACTCAAACTCCTTTTCTTATGTCCTGTCAAATTTCAGGATCCTGCAGAGGCTGACAAGTTGATGAGAATTCAGAGGGAGTTGGATGAAACAAAAATCATCCTTGTAAGCATTAAGCATGCGTGACTTTGCATTGCATAGTAGCATATATGTTCCCTGAATCTTTTGTCTTCTAAATTTACTGTCATGTAGTTATTCAATTTTTAACACAACAAATGATAGGTTTCGTTGCAAATTTATCATTTCTTAGCATCATGATGTCATGTCAACATGTAGTAGATTTAATGTCTGTCAGCTGGTTAGCAATAATTTAGTTGCTGTAATTCTTACTTTTTGCAATGTGTTTGTTTCTTAGTAAATGTTCATTGATTTACTTAGTAATTTTATTTGAGTGAGTGGGCTTTTCTCATTTCCTCTTCACTCTATTGGCTTGTTTTGGTTCTCTGCCGTGTAGATTTCTAAGAACTGCATCACAAACAAATGATGTAGTGTTTATCCATGACTGACTTTATTATTTTCTCTCACCATATGATTTTCTGTTGTAAACAGCACAAGACCATTGATAGTGTTCTTGCACGAGGGGAGAAGCTGGATAGTTTAGTTGAGAAGAGTTCTGATCTGAGTGCAGCGTCGCAGGTAAGTAATACAGCTCCTGTTTTACAACTTTACCCTCTGGGATTTTACCATAAATGCATACATATTATATATTCAGACGTATGTTATTTCTCCAACTCTTGGTTTACTAAAGCTTAGGTGTAAGTGGTGTTACGGTGGTATTCAATAAGCATGTTTAATGAATATTGCGTTTCATTCCCGTGATTAATGTCATTGTTGGTTAGATTTTTTTGCAATGCTTTTATTGAAGCCATGACAATGTTATAATTGTTGCCCATAAGTCAAGACTGCATTCTTGCTTTAAACTAATTATCTTAGGAAGAATACCGATAGGATAAATTCCTATCTAAATAAGGGAGAATGTAATATTAAAGAATATGGGAGAACATTGCAGCAATAAATGCAAAGGCAAATGCTCTCAAAGGACCCAAGTTACATGCCCAAAAATGAGAAGACCGCACACCATCTCTCTCTTAACTTCCCTATTATAGAAAGACTTCATATCTGTTGCCTCTCTCCCCTAACATTCCCTCCAATTTGATTTGTACATGGTAATTCCACTTTTGAAAGGGAGTATTGGTCCACATAACCCGATCATTAGAGTCTTATTGACCCTCTTTCTATTTATCGACAATAGACTCCAGAAACCTATTAATACCACCTGGTTGAAAAGTATCTCAAAATGGGAATGTCACCCACATGGATTATATCAAGTCATTTAGTTTTGCTGAATAGTCATGCTGTTGAGCCAATTGCTCCTTCAGCGTCAACTCCTAATTTTTCAGAATGAAACCAATAGCAACCAGCGGACCACACAAGCGTCTAGTGTGATTAAGTATAATTATTCGCGACTATGAAATACCGAACAAATTTTTTTAAATTCTTTATGTTCTGTATCTGGTCACTGGTCAGTGCTGTTATTGTCTTTGGTTAGACTATAAGGTTATCTATCATTATTTGTGCAGATTTCAAACTTCTCCATTCTTCCAATATTAATTTTGGTATTTAACATTTCAGTGTCAGTTGCTAAATATTTGATTCTGTTTGTTGTATAAAGAAGTGTGATTTATTTTGGATATCATAGTTGGTTGCATCTCATGAGAAATTCTTTCAGTTAGCTATGAATTGAAATTTGTTTCCCTCTTCTCTTACTTTGCTGAGCTGACACAAGAATATGATTCTGGCATTTGAAACAGATGTTCTACAAGCAAGCGAAGAAAACCAACCAGTGCTGTACAATATTGTAAGCTTTCAAGACCATCAGTATCATGTGAGCTCGTCTGAATCCTGTTCTGACGTTGATGCTGTTGGATAGGGTGAAAATAGCTTCGTATGTCTATAACACTCTCCATTGTCTTTTGTGAAATTCTGTGATTTTCCCGGTTATATGTATTGCATACGGGAACGAAATATTGGCCAAAGATCTGTGTGTTGGCAAAATAACATTCTCATTTACCTTTGTTTGTGATACTTACTATGATAATTTTTAGCGTTCTGCATATAAAACTACTTTGGTGAAGCCATTCCAACTTCCAAGTTACAATATGTTGTGGGATATTGTCACGTGGGCTCATCTATCTTGTTATCTGCCTTAAGTTTTTTATTTTATTTAAAAAATAAGTTTTTTTTTTTAATTTAAAAATTGATTTAATTGCATTGGTCCTATTTTGAATCCTTTAAGACTTAGGTTTCTGTCTTTTTAATTTTACAACTTTGATTCCTTAATTTTAAAATTTCTAAAATTGATCCCACCATTTACTTTTTATTTTATTTTAAATTTAATAATGTGGTAAAAGTGATATAATATGAAAGAAGTAGACATGTGGCTTCCGAGCACTTAAACCTTAAATAGTGTTTTCTTTAAACTTTAATTTTGCCAAAATTCTAAACAAAACAAACATTTTTTACTTTTACTATATTATTTCAAAACTTTGAAGTCATTGGATCAGGATGGCAGAACTGGATCAGGATGGCAGAACTGCATTCAGTAGGAGAGGATCCGTCAGTTCTTTTCTTATTAGTAACAGATCCGTGCTCAGAAAGATAAAGTTAAATGGCAGTCTGATTAAGTAATATAAATAATTATAATGAAACAAAACTATTAAAATAAGGAAAAATAATTGTTATGGTTGATAAGAGTTGTATATATAGATATAAAATTCAAATAGGAATCATAAAGAAATGTCTATATATGCTTATTAAAAAAGATTTTTAAAATAAAAGATATTATGTAAAACTTATTTAAACAATGAATAAAAAATTGTACATGAATTTTATAATAAGAAAGAAGTTGGAATTAAAAAAAGGGAAGATTTTAGAAATAAGGAAAAAAAAAGAAAAAAACTGTTTGGTTATTATAATGGAGTAAAGCAAGCTAAGGTATAGTTTTGAATAGACCGGTTCCATTGTATTAATGCAAGAAAATTGAAAGACGTATCCCTGTTAGATCAAAAATTTGTTCACTCCAACAACATCATCATGATCTTGGTTCTATAACTGCAAGATTTGATGTTTTAATGGAACGTGAAAGGTTTGATTTTGAATTTATAATTGTTCGCATATATATGTATTTAAGCTATTAGTAATCAGATTCAAGTTTTTAAATGATGTTGCCGATATATTTGTGTTGTAGATTAGACCTAGGGTTTACTCCAGAGTCTGAATGGATTAGAGTTAGCAAAGAATGTTTGAAGTATGCGGGTTTGGAAAATCGACGTGTTGCCCCCATAATGGAAGAAGAATTGGCAACAAGTCACGAATGGGTGTTCGGCCAATGTTAATAGTAAGTTCGATGAAGTTAGGGGTGCCGTAGTTTTAAGTTCAATAGTCAGGATGTGGTTTTTACAGTTCAATAGTCAGGATGTGGTTTTTACTAATGTGGCCAAGGGAAAAGGTAAGTTAGGTTTTTATTCTGAAGATTTGATTGGTTTTAATGAAGTTGGCTATGTTGAAGAAGCACTCACTGATCACAGTGTGGACAGAAATGATGGGCAAATGTTAGAAAAGTTAACATAAAAATATAAACATTTATATCAGTTGATGCAGATTTGAAAGTTGCAAAATGTTTGTTAATGAATATCATTGTATGATTGTGATTTCTAGGGGTGTTCGCGGTGCGGATTGAGCGATTTTGAAGTGAAAAATCACTCGAACGGTAAGAGAAAAAACATACGATTCGGTTTGATTCGGTTGACTTTTAAAAATAAATCTGAACTAAACTAAACCAAACTAATACAGTTTGAATTGGTTCGGTTGATTCGATTTTTTACAAAAAAAATTATTAAGCCATACATACATTTATAGTGGAAAATACAATTTTGTGTTTAATTGTTCATACATTACCATAAAAAAATTATAATTGTCAAAATAAATTTTGAATTTGATACATAAAATTGCGTATTATAATTTTATCTAAATCTAAATAATGATTTATAGACAATATTACTTTCTTAAATAAATATTATACAAAGAATACTATAAAATATATTTTGTGAAAATAATATTTATAAATAAATAATATTTTTTTTTATGATTTGTAAATTAAAATAAATATCATACAAAGTATGATAAAATATACACATAATACATGTTGATTTCTCTAAAGAATTAAAGAAATATATATTGGTTAGTAAGATTTTATAACATAATGCGGTTTTTTTTTTATAAATTTAGTTTGGTTATCAAATATAAACCGCAAACTCAACCGAATCACGCGGTTCCGTTAGAAAATGACCCAAACACATCAGAATCAAATAAAGTTTTTTGTGGTTTCCGTTTGATTCAGTTCAGTTTTGCGATTTTTTATTGAGCTGATTTGATTTTGAACCCCCTAGTGATTTCATGCAGGCAAGGTGAGGCAAAAGTCGAGAATAGAAAGGGGAAAAGGGTTGATCTGTTAAAAAGTGTGACCCCCGCGACTCCGTGGTTATAAAATACAAGAACAATCACAAATACTGCCTGTGGACCAAGGACATCAAATGCAGGAAGACAACAAGAGCAAATGTTTTAGTAAGTACATTAAATTTTGTAATGTCAGTGATAAGTCATAATATTTATGTTTAATACCCTGTATTTATAAAATGTTTGTTGTGTTATTTGAAGTAACTCCTCCAAAAAGTTGTCAAGAATATTCAAAAAGACATATTAGCAATAAATTCTGTAAAATAGTTTGGTCATTAAATTTTTTTTTGTGCAACAAACAGAAAATTTAAAATTTATTAACTATGTCATTTAGTTGATTGAAGTAAAATTGTATTCATAAAAATGTTATAGGTTGTTGAGTGTTACTATGGATTTAATGGGCCTCAGGCCCATCAGAAATAGATGATGTCCATAATGATATTAAGAGTGCAGAATAAATAAATATTGATATATTGAAGACAATAGGTTGACAACAGACATAAACAATTGGAAAAAGTTTTGGTGTTCAGAAATAAAGTTGTGGTTCTCTAGGTCAGATTTATTTACTTCCATCAAACAATGTCAAGCATGACTTCAAAAAACCCCATTGAAAGGTAAAATCATGTTTTCCCTTGACAACAATATGAAAAAATAGGTATATGTTTTTGTCCATTTATTGATATGCCACATTTCTGTGTGTAATGATTTTGCAGAACCATTGAAGATTTGGAGCAGAAACCTACTAGAGAAGAATGAGTATAGATAAGGCCATACATCGTGACCTGGAAGAAGCTCAGGTTGTTAAAGAAGCTCAGAAGCATGTTCGTAAGGCAAGATCTGGTATCCATGTTGATGTTAATATCAAACTACATAAAATAAAGGTGGATCACCACTAGTTGATAGTCCAAAGATTGATAAAAAACAATTTGGATCTCGGATTTTTAATGGTGTCAAATCGAAGGCAAACATGGTGGTTCATCTGTATATGAACGTGCAAAAAGTGAGAGAGTAAGAGACGATAAAGAGAAAAGGGTAGTATATGATGGAGACTCATATGATTGAGGAAATGTTGTTGAAAAAGGAAAGGCGCATGTGACCCATTGGTTAGAAACATGTAAGGATAAAAAGGTAGCAGAGAGAGAGAGA